TACAGCAGTGCATGACGCACCACCAGTACCCGAGAGACCGATGGTGTGTCCATTACAAGAGAGTGGACAGGATCTTCGAGTTAGTTGTCTGGTACAAGGGACATCGGAACTGCAGCTACTAAGTGAATGTGATGATCGACCTCGATGTGGGCAGCAAACCAAGCATTTCCAAGTAAATGGTGTGAACTTTCTCGGTGAGACTGAGCAAGCAATTGAACACAGCTGCGATATGCAAGAGTTGCGATTGTGGGAAAATGCAATTGTCAGGCAAGTATCTAATCTGCAGGCTAAAGAAAAGAAATATTTCACAAAATCATTTTGGGCAACAGACAAAGGTTAAGTATCACTGGTCAATAAGGGGTTTTTTAGCTTGATCATTGAAAACCTGACCTTTTTCCCTACAGCTCAATGCTTAGGGGAAAGACTTCGTTTAGAACTAAATTGACATACCATTTTTTTATAGGGCTAAGCCACAAAAAGCTACAAGGAGGATGAATGCAAGAGATGCGTTTTTCATCACAGAGATAACAGAGGTTAGGCAGCATCGCCATATTGATTCCAATGAAGGAACAACTGCTGTCTTCACCTGTCCCATGAAAACTGATCGCTATGGATACAAGCTTGGCTTGAGGATGTACCTAAATGGCGTGGGTAACGGAAGAGGCAGGTCTGTTGCCATCTTTTTGCACATGAGGATGGGAAAGTATGACAACTTTGAAGTGAGGTGGCCGTTCACTCAGAGGATTACGCTATCCATTATAGATCAGAGTGGTGCTGAACGCCATTTAAGCCGAATCCTTCAAGCCAAGCCTAATATGGTAGCCTTTCAGAAACCTACGCAAATGATTAGTCGTACGGGATGCGGTTTTGTAAATTTTGCTCCCATAGAGGAGGTATTCAGTGATCCTTATGTAAAAGATGATACCCTTTTTCTCAAAATTGAGTTTTCTGCCTGACTGCTACATATCGTTCTTCTCTCTATACACTCGATTGCAAAACGTTGATCCTGACAAGCGCTAGCTAGTGTTTACACGAAGTGTACAGTTTTCAGTCATAAGGGTGTTTTTCATTTGTCCTACTCGCTTCTTTCGATAGAGATATACTATGATTAATGAATGATAACCCTTTTTGAATAGAAGTTTACCAAAAGTAGTGTTACTTTTAAACAAGCCAAGGTATAGATCGTCCTAATATCCCTGCTTAATTTCGTCTAGTACCAGCATTGGCGCATGATAGTATTATTGTTGGGGATCTTGTGCGATGTCTGCTTGGATGCTAAAGTAAATAGGGCTTTGGTTTTTTCGCCATAAAACAGGGTTTTGGCCATAATTTGTTTGACCACGCCAGGCCTTTTCTGTTTGTGAGCCTGTATTTATGCATGTCAAGGGATGTGAAATCCACTCTTGGTTCAATTTATCAGAATAGTAGTTATTTGTGCCATTTGTACCATTTATAAAAAGTTGCGTGCTGTGTAACTGACGTTATGCATGTGGTCCCCATGTGGATATGTCTATTAGTAAGAACAATTTAACTCTAAATGAAAGGCTAGTCTAACCAGTTAGGCGTGGGGTAAAAGAAGGTGACATGCCTCCTATAATCTATACAGTTATCTGTCATGTCTAAAGAGCTATGCAAAGTGTTTTTGAGTGTCAAGGCTATCAGTGTTTCCTGAGAGTCAAAGCTATTTTCTTTGAGCTTTCTCGTTTTTATAACTCGCAGGATCTTAGCCATTTGTTCCTTTCTTTGGCAACTCATTTTCCTTCCACTATTTCAGTAATCGTTTCAATTTAGCCCGCGACCTCAAGTACATGTAACATCTTCACACGAAACATGTTCCTTTTTTTATTCCCAAAAGTTTATCTGAATCTTCTATTATTTCCCAAAAGTTTGTTTGACTCTTAAATTACCCACTTTGAAAATTTTACTGAAATCAAGGGAAGTGGGGATTCTCCATTTTTTTTCTTAGTATTAAAAACGAGTATTAGTTCTTAGTAAAAATTAGAGTAATGTGCTTTTGAAAAGGACATGGAAATTTCGTTAAATTGACTCATAAAATATTTTCCAACCTTGCTAGCTGTAATTTGTCATGGAGAAAATATTTTGAAGTACTCTATTTCAGACGAAAATTTCATATAAATCTCCTTTATTTTTTCCCCCCAAAGGGTTTTTAATCAATTACTTTTTTATCAATTTTTTTTATTAATTACGCAATTAAAAATCGGGATGTAGAGGTTAATACAAATTATTTAATAAGATTAAGAGAATTGGAGCTGTTCCATTCTTTTTAGATAAAAATAGTGTTATTTCTTATCGGAAACCTGTTTTAGAATAGGTAGATAGATGTTAAATAAGTATATTATGTCTGTGAGCAAGGGAGCGTATCATTCCGAGATCTCACCCTGAACCACCCAGATTTCAAAACAGCTTTGATGAGAAATATCTCAATCGAAAGAGTATGTTTATGTGAGATTTGGCCATCCTTAAAATGGAACTGTGATATCGAGCCAAACGACTAAACATACTTGATCTTACTTGGTTTAATTGCGTTCATATCACTTAGCGTCCAACATGATTTATGAAACATTTGCATATAAAGCGTTACAGTTGCATTCCAAAATTTGTTTTGAAATGAAGTGTTAACTTATTTCAGATGTCGTTGCAAATACTATGGCAAAGGACAAAATAAAAGATGAATGTATGCAATCGTTGCATTTTACTGCTGTCCAAGGCATGGAAATGCGCCATAGAAATTGATATTATTATTATTATTATTATTATTATTATTATCATTATTATTATGAGTTAACCTCCCTAATCTTAGGTGTGATACAGCACTGTGCGCCTTATTTGGATGAGACGACTAGCTAACTATTTTTAACGGCAATTTTCCTTATAAATTAAATGCGAATGACATAATAATTAAAGAAATGCCTCAAACTTTTTAGCGAATGATAATCGGCTATCCTATTGCACGTGCACAGAAGAGGTAGTAAAGTATAGCACCTAGCTAGTCCTTGAGTATTTCAGCCACCGGCTCCTTACGGCGACACATCATGCTAAGAAATTTAAGATAAACAAACATGCCAACCAAAGCATCTTAATATGAGAAAAACAAAGCCAACGTGAAACTGCTTAACTTTCGCCTGTCATTCTTCGCTCAATGTTTGTTTCCACTTCACACGTTGTTCAAGACTTCCCAGGTTTCTTGGTTTTTTTCCTTCTATTACATTTTTGTTGCACCGTTAAATTTGTGCTGGTTGTTGTGAAGATCATATGAAATTCCTTTGTTTAATTCATTATCCAAAGTTGTCCTCAGCAATCTTTCTTAGACTAGTGTTACCTATTTAGCAATGACACTGCAAATTGCTGGTCTATATTTTAACCAGGTTATCATTCCTACCTTGGGTTAGGCGAGTTTGCCTTTATAAAACCAGCTAACCGCAAGCATGTGTGGGGTGGGGTGGGGTGGGGGGGGGGAGAGTGAACCTCGATATATTTATGAAGTTTTCATTCAGTACTGACAATTTTCTGCAAACGTGACTCTTTCTCCCCGCTCCTACATCCTCACAGTGAAACTAAGATCACATTCATCTGTGAAACTTGATGAAGGAAGTGTGACCGTAGTGCAATGTGTAATCAAATAATATATTTGGAAAAAATCGCTTTGCAATTTCGATCTTCAGCCAGGCGCCCGTGGTTGTAGCATCAAAACGATCGAAACGCTAATGCATCGGTAGAAAATATCTTCGCCTCTGTCACCCTGAACAAAAGGTTTCACGAATCATAGAATTATATTTCGTGAAAAATCTCTCGGTTGGTTTATCACTGCTCGCTTTTCTTTTATTTGAACCAGATTTCTGTAAAACATCAAAGCAAATTGTTTCTAGAATTCCGAGTTGCAAACTACTAGGTGTACCACCCATGGGTGCCTGGATAGTGTCGGTTGGTATATTCGTCGAAAGTCAATCAATATCTGATCGGTTGAATCTTGGTCAGTTTAGTTGTCTAATGCAAAAACGAATATAAAGAGTGGATTGCGTATAGGCCCCATCTCTTAATTGCATGTTACTTCAATTAAACTCTTAAGGTAACTTTCAAATGAGCTTTCAGAAGGTTTTAACAATTAGTAACACGGAGGTTCATAGAAAAAAATCAAAAAAAATTTATTCTTTTGCCTCTAATGTGATCTTGAAATAAGCAACGTTTCCCTTGCACTCTTTTAGGTAACACTCCACATTTTTGGAATCAGTCAGCTTGTCAGTATTATTACTGACCGCCAATGAGAGCGGGCGAATAGAGACTGATCGCGTGTAGTGTAGAAACATAAAGACTTTAATAGTAGGATAAAGAAACTGTATAATAAACTCTTTGAGTATATAATCATAGTTACATGTAATTAGCTTCGGTCAGTAATTTTAGTGTAGTCATACCGGAGTTTGAAATCAACTGATGATATTACCTTATCAGCACATTTTGATCTCCTCCACGACAAAAGACGTCATTGGTCAATAAGGATCTTTGACTATAACTTGTATAGTCCTTAATCAAGTCACCCACATTTTGACAGGCTGGCTCTTAGGCTTACGAAAGTAGCGCATGCTAGGTTAGTAGATCACCGCTGCAAAACACATTACACTCTATGCACGACCAAGACAACTACATGTTCATTGTTCACGTCAATATATTCTATCTCATCTATTCTTAATTTTCGGATTATTTACAGAAACAAATTGCTTCCAATTGAAGTTTTCCCTGGTCTACGGTGGAGTCTGGCAGAAAATTATCTGAATTGTGAGTACAATCATTTCAGTCATAATGTATCATCTATTAAAGCACCCAATACTCAGAGGTTTCCGGTTCATTACTTCCTTGTGCCCAATATACGTATTGTTTTGTTATTTCCTGAACGTTGTCATTATGTGGTGCGTCAGTAAGCTCGTGGTCTACCCTACAATTAACACAAGTTAGTTTAAATATCGTAATCCCTTTCCTCGATGAACTTATATAATGTCAGTTGCAGAAATTTTTTTTCATCTTCAATAGTTAACAATCATTATTCAAAGTGGAGGTGAGTAGCATAGTACTTGCTAATCACTTTTAATCTACGTCATCAAACAGGACAGGACATAGACAGCCATTCCTTCCAGTATTTAATGTCATTTCAAACCAAACAACCTAATACACTCGTACGACGAAGGGCTAACGCTCGAAACGTCAGCTTCTGTAATCGTTACGGTGGCCAATTTACCATTTCAACTTTGTTGATATATCCAACTTAATACACATACCTGAAATATTATATTCATGTTTTCGCAAACTTCTAGTAGTATGTTCGAATCCAAAAACCACGAAAAGCTTCTTCCGGGAGCCTGCGTAGTGAAGTTATCCTCAATACTGAGACGCCCCTTTAGTGTAGCACTGGATCCACGTAAAGGCTTAAATTCGTGCACGCCAGAACTCGGCCGGAATTGTCGCATATGACCGAAGAGAAATAAAATAGTCGTAACAACTTAAACTATAAAGTCAGTGTAACCTTTTCTTTTTAAAGTGGC